GTGCTGCATAGAATAGGCAAGGAAAGAGAACTTTTTAACACAGTAAAAGTTAGAAAAACATCATACCTAGGCCACATACTGCGAAATAATAAGTACCAATATGCCCAACTTATAGTGAAAGGAACAATCGAGGGAAAGAGAGGTCTAGGAAGGAAAAGACTATCATGGCTCAGAAACATCCGACAATGGACAGGGCTAAATTTTGAACAGCTCATAAGAACAGCTGAAGATAGAGAACAGTTTAAAGTTGTAGTAGCCAACCTCCATTGAGGAGAGGCCACTTTAAGAAGAAGAATGAATTTTCAGCTAATATGATCAGCATCAAGAGAAGAAAGCTGGAATATCTTGGTCATGTGATGAGAGGGAAAGTACAGCTTCAAAGATACGAATAGCAATGATAATTGCCAAACTTCGTAGTGTAGGGCACTTGAAGAAGAAGAAGAATATGAATTTAAACATGTACATGTTCATTAAAAAAGAACACAGTTTCCTTATTTCAACATTAGGAACTGAGAAAAGGCTTTCCTACAACTTTTTTTGGACATATTTCAAGGAAACCACCCTTTTATTGGCTTTGTCCAACCAGTGAAAGATGTATGTGTTACATGTGAGGAACTAAATTTAAAAATAAAATGTCCTGCTTTTAATGAGAAAGCAAAGCAAACAGCTGTCACTGAGGTAACAGTACACAAGCATTAATCTAAAAATTTCTATACATCACTGAAAGAAATGACCACGCAGTGTGTCAGTAAGCCTGAAGAAAATGTTAGCATCTGCATAGATTTTATGGTCAACATATCTCTACCTTGTATTCCTGTCCAAGATACCTGTTACCTTAGACAGCTCACTGTAAATGTCTTTGGTGTGCATAATTTTGCGACACAGGAATGTACATTTTTTATCTATCATGAAAGTGAAGAGAGTAACGGCTCAAACGAAGTTTGTACTATGTTAGATTGGTACATAAAAAAGAAAATTGGCAGTGGTGTAAAAAAACGTTTATCTGTTTGAGGACAACTGCGCAGAGCAAAATAAAAGTAATACTGTGATTTGCATGATGATATACTTGTGTGAGATAAAAAAGTTTAATGAAGTCAAACTAACCTTTCCTCTTAGGGGGCCGCTCTTTATGCCAAATGACAGAGATTTTGGCATCGTCAGAAAAAAATTAAAGCAAGAAGAACGATAGTATACTATGAATGACGTTGAATTATCAAAAAGTATAATGAAATCATCAAAACTTGACGGCAAATTTTCTGTTATTAAAATGACTTGCTACTTGAACATAATTTTAATAGCAGAAATGTCAAAAGCAAGGTAAAAGCAACAATAATTGTAAAAATACTACAATTAAAAAGTTTTCTGTATAAAAAATTAAACATTTCACATATCCTTAATATATTTACCCAATGCAGTGTTGCCATATACTCTAGCTCTAACTGTTAAATTGTTCTTTGTGAATCTACTGGAGAAAAATAGATAAATATATCATAACGCCTAGTGATCAATGAGGTAAAGGAACGATGAGTCTTATTGCGAAAATATTTAACATACAAAGATTGAATTAGAGTCGATCGTTCTTTCGTTGTCACTGTTACTAATTGCAGTGATTTTTGGAGCAGTTACTTTTTAGCGTAACCGTTGCTTTACCTCTTCGTTCACTTCGTCAATTGTTCTTATAAAAATTCCTGAGTTATTTTAATAATATTTATACGAAAATAATCGCCAATAGCAACATTTTCCGACACTTAAAAATTATCTAGAGTATACTTTGACAATACTAAAAATCCGCAATGTAAAAGTTTACAAAGTTGTGCAGAATACACGACTATTAACCTAAGAATTTAATTTTTTGGTATGATTAGCATCTCTATTACAATAGCAAAGACTTATACCTTTTATTTGTACTCTGTATATAATTTGTAAGACTATGTAGAGATCGGAGGCACTCGTATTATTTCTATAATAAAATTAACCATTGCATTCGAGATGAATTTACTGTTTTAATAACGTAAAAAAACGAATATTGCAATGATTTATTTTGTTTTACAGTTAATGCAAAAAAATGGCGTTGCAAATTTATCACGTCTTTTTTTTCTGTCTTTAACAGCGAAAGAAACGTTTTGTAATGTATATGAGTGAGTTTTTACTCTTGCAACTTGATTGTTTTGCTATGACTGTAATTATGGTAGGCAGTTTTTCTTGAAAATTTCCCAGAAGAAATCTTGAGCATGACGTTTTAGTAGTTGCGGTCTTTGGAAGGATCTAGTGCAGTGGTTCTCAACCTTTTTGTGGCGACGGAACACTTTTAATTACCGAAAAAAATTGCGGAACACCAAAGCAATAACATGCATATATTGATAAACAAATTAGGATTAGCACATAAATTATGTAATAAACTTTATTATACGTACTCAAATTTGTAAAATTTTACTTAAAATATGAAAACAAAAAACATTTTTAAAATTAACAAAAGCGTAATTCTCAAAATACATCATATGAGTAAATACTTTAAATTAGTGAGACACTTGTGCCTGGTGTTGTTGCAAATTTGCTCAATATCAGGCCTGATGTGGGAAAGAGCTACTCTCATTTGTTGTTCTAAGTTTAGCAGCCTTTCCCGTTACTTATTTTTAATGTTTGTTAAAGATGAGAACCCAAATTCACATAAATAGGACGTTGAAAACTGTATTAAAATACTTATCGCTTTTTTTGGCAAGAAGTGGATATTCCTCTTGGACCAAGATCCAAAATTCCTGAACATTCACTTCTGAAAACTTAATTTTCAGAGTACGATCAGATGACAACGAAATAAATTCTTCTTCTTGGTTCAGAGAAAACTGGAAATTGGCTGTATTACTTGTGCTAAAAGGACTTCTTATCCAGTCATATTTTTCTACGTTCAGAGATGGAAAATACCTGGCAATTGTCTTCTCTAATAGTGATAAGTGTTCTGTAACTATATGCGTGATTTCTTGTTCTTTATCTTTATCACCTTCATTCTGAAGCAGTGGAAACATATCCATTTTATTTGTCTCTAAAATGCGCTTCTTCCAAAATGACAATTTCTTGTCCGTGGATGTTAAAATATATTCATTTTTGCCTTGCATACTTGAGTTAACGCCATTTAAATAAATAAAAATATCGGCCAAATATGCCACTTTAGTGCACCATGCATCATTTTCAAAATATGTTGTAAATGTGTCATTACCTTCTTCTTGGAAAAAAGTTAACAGCTCCGTTCTAAGTTCATAAATTCGACATAATACTTTGCCCCTTGACAACCATCTAACTTCGGTGTGCAGCAACAAACATTCATACTTTGATTCCATTGAGATGCAGAGTTGTTTAATTAGACGGGTTTTTAGTGGTCTTGATTTGATGTAATTCACGACATTAACCACTTGATAATGAAGATTTCAAAGTAGCTGGTAGCGTTTTTGAAATTAGAGATTCTCTATGCAAGAAACAGTGAGTAGATATGATATTTTCATTTCGCTTTTTTGCAAGGGTACAAAAACCTTTTATGGAGCCTACCATGGAAGGGGCACCATCCGTACAAATTCCTACGCAAAAGTACCATGATATATTTTTTTTCTCTAAATATGACGTTATGGAATCAAATACATCCTGACCTGTTGTACGTGCTGTAAGTTCTCTGCAGCATAAAAACTGATTGACTATTTCACCTTCGTCGACAAATCGAATAAATCCTAATAAATGAGCTTTGCCACTAATATCAGTGGATTCGTCTACCTGCAATGCGAAGTTTTTTTTTAAGTTTATTTGTAACTTTTTCCTCAATATCTGCAGATAAATCAAGAATCCTCCTTCTTATTGTATCATCCGACATAGGAATTTTCCGTATTTCGTTTTGTGCATCGTTGCCAAACATAATTTTGACCATCTCACAACATGCTGGTAATATAAGAGATTCTGCAACAGTGTGTGGTTTCTGTTTCAAAGCAATTAATTCAGCGACCTTATATGAAGCTATTTGTGCTTTGTCGGAAATTGTTAGCGACCTTTCAAATTGTTTCGCTTGTTTAGGTTGTGTCTCCAAAAGTCGCTTAAAATAATCTTTATTTATTGAAGCTACACTAGCATGTTTGGTAGTAAAATGGCGTTTTAATTTAGCCGGAGCCATTGCGCTATTAGCGAGTGTCTGCCCACAAACAATACACTTGGGAATTGGACAGTCTTCTTCCCCAGTCCAAATGAAGCCATAATCCAAATATTCATCCAAATATTGCCGGTTCAACATTTTTTTGCTGCGCTTCGATTTGTCATCAACCCCACTTCGTAAAGTTCCCGTATCTCCGCTGGTGCTCGCTTCATCATCATTAATTATGAGTTGTTCCACAGTAGTTTTTCTTTTAAGTTTGAGGAACTTATCCATTTTAATTTATTCGTCTCTAAACAAAATAATGCGGATGAATGCTTCACATTTTGTATAAAATATGCAATTACTTACTTTTAATAGATAAGCCGTACGTAAACGTTATAAAAAAACTGACACAGCGATTTTCACGTACTACGTTTGTGCAATGTAACAAATTCAACATTCAGTTGCAGACTGTGGCGTGGGTGACTCAGATTAGCTGTGGCCACTGCGGAGCTCAGCGCTCAGCGCTTATAAAATCCAACGTGTGCACTGTGCCGACGCGGTGTTGTCACGTTGGGCAAATGAACATTTACGCTGCAGAAGTTTATTAAATTAAAATGTACGTAAGTGGCTATTTTAAAATTTGAAAATATTTATTTGAAAAGAGTAATTTAGCAAAATGGTATGTAGGATTGCGAGTATTTCGCGGAACACTTGGAAGAAATTCGCGGAACACTAGTGTTCCGCGGAACACCGGTTGAGAACCACTGATCTAGTGTTTAAAAAAACCATCTCTCTCCTGAGCTACCGTAAAGCTCCAAATAAAAAGGAAACTAACAGTAAAGCAGTCTCGCAACAAGTGGTAAAATTAGGATAAACTGGAAGCAAATACGTCTCAGTGTAGGTCTGGAATGGCATAGGGCGTTTCTTGATAGGGACCTGTAACGATACAGGGATACATTGGAAAAACAGTCGTAACAGTTTGTGACGGCAGTGTTGGTGCTCGAATAACAATATCACTATTAGAATAAACATAATTACTAACATCTACATTGAAATCAACACCAGTATTATCGAGATCGTTACTCGGCTCTAATTTACGTCTCAGTTTCTCTTTGTATTCATCCAAACCATGCTGAGGCTTATTCATGTTTCTATGCTGGTAAAATACCAAGGCGATACGAGTAGGGGATAGTCTATTGGGATTCTTAAGGGCAGTGGTAGCATGCAGTTCGTGTTTGGCACATTCAAACAGAATACTACCGTGCGGAAGAGCAATAGCAACTCCACCCATGTCGTCGTCTTGAAAGCATTCTGCATTGTCAGTGTATGAAATGTTTATTTTTTTCCCTCTGGGTGGAGTAACATCGCCCGATAGGTTTCTGTTTGGAGAATTGTCGTCGAAAGGATTGCTAGCGTTGTATATAGGATGGTTACTGAATTGGGAAGCGTAGTTACTCAAATTAGGGGTCGGTGAACTGTAGTATGATTGGTCTTGGTGATAAAAGTTATTTACATTTCGTTCTTGATAAAAACTGTTAGAGAGATAAGGAGTTTTGAATACTGAGAATTGAGGAAGAGATGAGGAAGAAGAAGTGGAAGCATAACTGCTATTACCAAAAAACTCTTGATACTCATGACTGTTATTACTACTATCTGAAAATTCTTCGTACCTCTTGTTAAATTTATTCGGAAAACCTGACACCGTGCTTGACACTTGACTATTTTGAAGCTCTCCGCTATTTACTGGCGACGTTAAAGGAGTAATTGATCTGGACGAGGATGACTCCTCAGATATCGACGATTTCCTCTTATTCTTTGTTCCCTTCTGATTTTTCTTGGTTCTTCTAATTTTACATTTCTCAGCGGGGATGGTAGATGTTCGAATTTGGCAAGGGTAGCTAAAAATGTGTGTTTATATTAATTAAGAGAATAGAACAAAGCAATTGCATACAAATACAGATTTTTAAAGGACAGCAAATTAACAAGCAATAAAACAAGTTTAAAAATAAACAAGAAAGGAATCACTTATGAAGGAATGAGATATTTCCACCACTAAGGGCACCTTCTCATATCAGTTGGCAAACCTCTGGGATTTGCAGTTTAATCCTTTGACGTCCAGAGGTACATTTAAGTACCATCACCTTTGAATGTTGTTTAATCAACATTGCAGTCAATTCATGCGAATTTAGGAATTGGTACATTAAAGTCCTATGTTTAATTCGTATTTTTACGATTAAAAGTAACAGCAACGCTGCTTTGTCTCTCAATATTCTCTGTAATACGGACAAATTGCTTAAAAATACAGGTGATATGGATACAAATTTCTAAATGTAAGTACTTTTCTTGTAATTTTGGGTACTTTACAAACTATAAGTACCTTTGGCTAGTAATGCATGATTTTTTTTTCTACATTTACAGATGGCATGGAATCGAAATAAAATTCCTCTAACCGATGACCAGCTACTTGAAATCATTTAAAATGATGATTTCGATGATCTTCCTTAAGACAATAATGATGATACAGATATTAAATCTGACTTTGAAGAGAACGTTGTGGATTTATTTTCCGCTGTTCAAATGACACGAATTGATAGAATACCACCTGAATTAGAAGAGCATCAATCTGAAGAGGAATCGCAGGTCGCTGAAGGAGAACATACAGAAATTCAAGGTCCTTCATCCAAAGGGGTCAATTTGGAAAGAATATGGAAGAAAGAGGAGAGAGATATTAAAATACCAGATTATGGTTTAGCTGAAAATGATTGTGAATCAAACTTTGCAAATGCCAAACCTTTAGATATATATTTTTTAATTATTAAGAGATTCCATAGACCATATCGTTTTTCAGACGAATGTATGCGCATCCCAAAAAGGAAAAAATTTGCAAATGACGAAAAATGAATTTATAGTATTTGTAGGTCTGAATTTTTTTATGGGGTACCACATTTTGCCCAGTATTGAAAGTTATTGGTCCACTTCTGATCTCCAAATACCACTTGTAGCAAAAACTATGACAAGAGATTCAAAGAAATTCTCTCTAATTTGCACTTAAACGACAGAAGTTATGGTGTCTTTTTGATATGAAAGGATTTATAAAAAATTTGATATATATCAAGGTAAAAACGAGGCTTTAGATAATAAATATAAAGACTATTAACTCGGTGAACGAGTTGTTGTCCAAAGGACTGAAGATGAATGGGGAAAGCATAGAATTGCATATTTTGATAACTTTTTTACTACTGTAAAATTACTGGAAAAATTACAAGCTGAGCAAGCATAGATGTGGTACAATACGTTCAAACAGAAACAATAACGCAAAAAAGTTATTAGCTGATAAAAATATGAAAAAAGAGACTTTTATTACCGGGTCTCAAATACAAATATTATATTTTTCAAATGGAAAGACAACAAAGTGGTAGATTTGGCATCAAATTTCCATGGAACTGACTCTACGAGTGTCTATCGAAAAATCAAAGATGGGAAGACCATTCCAGTTTCGGCTCCACAAGTTATAAATGATTATAACTCGTACGTGGGTGGAGTATATGACCATAATCAATGATGAATGGTATCGGCTGGATAGATCAAACAAATCGTGGCACAGAATATTTTGGGGGTGCAATGAAATTGCATTTATTAATTTATACGTAATATCCAAACAGCGTTTAGACAAAGAAAAAAGTTTACTGGATTACCAACGTGATCTGACAATGGGGCTCCTCGGAAAATCTCAATGTCCTACCACTCAGCGTCTTTCATGTTCACAAGGTGGACCAAGTCCAAAAGAAGACGTTACAACTATAGTGTACCTGATACTATTCGAGTTTCAAATCGTGGTAACCACTGGTCCAAATTTGAAGAAAGAAGAAGATGTGAGATGTGCATACAATCCAAGTCTCGTCTTATCTGTTCTCTATGTGGTGTTTTCTTGTGTATTAATGAGAAAAAAAATGTTGTATTTCATATCAGGAAGTTTAATATTTTATTATATTGAGACAATTATAAATCAATCAAATACATATTTCAATACCCAAAGTTTGTTGACATTTTCGGCCAAAGGTACTTAGGAGTACCGTCTCTGAAAAACGAAGAAGAAATAGAGAAATTTTGAACTAAAAGATGTTTTTATGTAACGGATGAAATAGAAATCAATTTCTATGAATTATTTTCATATTTTCTAAATAAATTAGCGACTTTTAACATTACAAAAAAAAGCAAAATAGACTAAGATGGTCAAAAGACCATAAAGATTGGACTCAGTAGTTATGGGATTCACAATGGAGTGACGAGTCCAGATTTGAAATGTGTGTTACAGATGTGGGAAATTACATATCGTCTAAAGATGTGGGAAAGTTACATTTTATTGATGGGATTGTAAACACCGATAGATATTTGAATATTTTAAAAGAATCTCTTTAAAAAGAGTTTAAAATGGATTGAAGACCATGACATACCACTTCTGGAATGGGTTTTTAACAGTCCCGACTTTGTGGCGCGAAATGAAAAAAGCTTTGAGAAAACATCCTGACGGGTACGTTAACGAATTGAAGGAAACCTTGCAAAAAATATAGGATTCGTTTACATTAGAATTTTTTCAAAACTTCTAAAATTTATGCTGCGCTTTTATTTTTGTTCCCTAAAATTTGATTTTCTTATCAATCTAACGATGGGCCAACTGATATAGCAGGGGACTCGTATTTGGTACTGTTATTATTTTTCTGCTATCTATTTAGACGTAATGACAATAGTTAGTACTTACTTTTCTAAAACGTCGATTCCACCGTTCTTCACCTTCATCTCCTGATTTTGTCTAGAGTGAAATTCGTCGGTATCATCAGGCCTATACATTGGTAGGACATGGAGCTGCTCCTCAGCCGGCCTGGTCACGTTTCTGTGCTTAGTTAAGGTTACGACAGCAGTACACCCGTTGATCATATTGTGCAAGTCTTTATGAGAATGCGCACAAAAGTCAACGCAAGCTGTGACACCCGAAAACGGCCTTCCAGCATTTTTCCCCAACCGGCAATCCGGCGATATGCTTTCAAAGTGGCATTGATTTTTAAAAGACTGTGGCGCAAGACACCGATATATCGGGCTCAAATAGTCCGCTAGATTTTGTAGCTTGTCCTCGACTACCGCTTCCTCTGCTTTTTCCGTCATTCGAAACTTCCTCACTTCTTTAGATCTGGTAAACTTGCACCCATTGTAGTACATTGACCAAGAGCAACCGAACGTGAAGCTTGCCCCACAGGTGTTCTCGTCCAAGCCTTGACAAGCACAAGTTCTAGGATCGTTGGTGGCACATCTACGTTTCGTCGGAAGACCGAATTTGTTCAGTTTCTCCGTCAGTAAGGAATAGAGCTCATCTGCGTTGCCTTGCTCTACTCCATCCCAAACTACCAGGGCAACAACGATGAATGTAGAATGACAAAAGTGTCCTCTTCTTTGCTTCACGATAACTAGGTACTTTTCGTTTTCGTCTTGACGGCGGATAATCTAAGGAAAAAAATATTGTTAAGAAATATGAATCTTCATAAAATTAGGCGGATCTGTTTTGAGGTGGATGAGAGAGATGGCATTCTGATTTTTTCAGAAATAGTTAGGTGATAACCAGGTGAATGTTTCTCCCTTTTTTGTATTTATTACTTTTGTAAGAAAATTTTATACATATAACCTTGAAGAGAAAAGTGTACCCAGAATGGCAGTAATTATACCTATACACAAAAAGGAAACGCAAGAAACTGTAAAACTATAGAGGTATATCACTAATATGTGTAGCAGCAAAGTATACGAAACCATAATAGAAAGAAAATCAGAAAAGAAACAGAACATAAATTAGAGGATGTCAAAGTGGATTCAGGAAGGACACACACACAAGACCATATATTCACCATGCAACAAGTAATAGAAAAAGCCTTAAGAAAAATAGAGAAATATATCTGAGCTTTATAGGCATGGGAAAAGCATTCGACTTAGTCAAAAGAAAAGATATATGGGAAAGCCTAAAGAAGAAGCAAGTAAGTGAAGAACTGATAGAAGCAACAAAGAGTATATACATGAAAACAACAAATACAGTAAGAATGTTAAATATACAGTCAGAACCATTTGAAACAACTGAAGGAGTTAGACAAGGGGGAAGTCTCAGCCCAGTGCTATTCATAAATGTAATAGATGAAATAGTGAAAGAATGTAAGAAAACATTCAAGAAATACTGCATCGGTTGGAACAGAATGCAAATGATAAACGGCAGACGACATAGTATAATAGATATTAATAGATATATGTGCCAAGATAGGCACATTTAGAAGTAGATAAGTTGTTGAGGAAATCTTACGAACCTTTAAAAAGACTAAATAAAAAGATAAATATAAAGATAAACAAAATGAATACCTAATAGTACACTCACCCATTTCGCTATTGGACAGCCTTGTGCAGTCTTTCCCTCCTTTCCAGTATATCGAATCTTCTCAATTCTTATAGACATTCCAGTCGCTCCGTTCTACATTCTAGATCGTACCTTAAACTTTTTAAAGTGTTGGCACAACCCAAATGAGTGTAATAAGTACCAGGCTCAAAGGGCGTCTCGTTCGGAGGAAAACAGCTACATAGAGGTATTTCCATGCCGAGTTGCTTGCATTTTTCTATCGACAACGTTGGATATGGAGCCTTAGCTTTTGGTGTAGAAGTTGAAAAGGTGTTTTTGTTGCGTCTTGGTGTTTTTCTACATGTTGGTGATACTGTGATTTCGGTTTTTGTTGTTTGATAGTTTCTGAACTGTTTTAAATCATCGGCTTCTTCGTTAGAATCATTTTTGAGTGAATTTTTTCGATCGTTGTTTGTAAGTTTATGTGCTTCATGAGTGTTCGATGGATGAAACGTATTTTTAGATGGAAAATGATAATTGTAGCCCTTCGAACTTTGTACTTTATTGGATTGAGCAAATTTTGTTTGTTTATGTTGGTCCAATGAATTGTTAGTGGATTGTTGTAGCAAAAGTGGGTCTTTTATAGAATCATTCCGATTCTGGGAGCCACCATCATCACCTAACGGTTTCGTTAAGTGGTGATGGTGGCTATACGATAAAAAATGACCGGTCGAGTTTTGTTCTACGGCTTTGCTTTCTTCCATTTTACTGTTTTCTTGCTGTTTATTGAGTATCATCGTTTTTATCCTAGTATTGAGATTCACTTTATCTGCTTGAGAAAACGCCTTAGATGAATGCATATCATTGTGTACGTTGTCTAGTTTATTTGGCGAATTATTTACTTGAACGTATTGATTGTTCTGCTCTTGATGTTCGTAGTTGGACTCCATTTTGACCTGTTGCTCCCATATCATGTGTTCGTCATTCGGCCAATGCTGGTGCTCCTCTTGTCCGCCGTATTGTTCCTGGCCTGGGTAGCCACTAGAGTTGTGTGAATCTAGCTGCGGACTGCTGTTGTTCACTTGTGGATACCCAGGCTGAGCGTTTCCCGAATTGGCGTTTACATAATTTACAGAAGGATTCGGACTGAAGTTGCTTATCGAGGTATAAGTGTTTGTTTGCTGCGAGTTTTGTTGAGGATTTTGCTGTTGCTGCTGTTGCGGGCTAAAATTCTGATTCGGCGTTGGTGGATTCATTATCGTATTCACCGAACCCGGCCTGGAATTATTGCCTGATTGTTGTTGAGAATTATCAGAAGCCGGATTAGACGTAGTCTGGATAAAATTCTGCTGTGAGGTTTGTTGGCCACCCTGTTGTTGTTGAGCAATGTTATACTCTTGGTACTGTCGCCCACCAGGCGCTTGTTGTTGCTGTTGTACCGGACTAGGACTTGGTGTATGAGAATAATTGGAGTTTGGTCGTGGAGGTGCTAGCTGGACTTGCTGGTTAGGCGTGCTGGGAGGTCTTGCATTCGTTAAAACCTGAACAGCGCCCGTATAAAATGTATTAGCTTCAAACGCTGGTTGCTGGTATGTAGCTTGATAAATTCCGTTTGGGTATTGCTGGTAAGTCTCGATTGGTTGTCCTGCCGCTGGTATTTGTTGGATGAATTGCCCTTGGGGCCAACCTAAAATGGTAATAAAATAAAAAAAAATGCATAAACAAAGATTAAAAGAAATACGTACCTTGCGATGGATCAGCTTGCCATACAGGTGTTGGAAAGCGGTTGGGATCTGCATAGAAAGGCATTGGAGTCTGAAAAATTAAGTTATTTATTTCAACAATTTAAACAAGTTATTTTTAAAATTAACAATTTTTATAAATTAATAGCTAAAGTATTTGAGTGGCTCAGAGGCAAAGATGCCTAACCCCAAAAATATCTGGATTAGACTTAATAAGTGCTTATGATTTCTGTAAAAATCGTGTGCAGAATCAGCTTAAAATTAATTTTTATTGGTATGGTGTCCCCATCTATAAACTGGTTTTCGCACTAACAAAATGTAGGAAGCTTGCGGCAAAACTGTCTAACCAACAAAAATATGGCGAATGTAAACATGAGCAATGACGCATCGGAGCCTTTCGGATCCGATTTCAGCGATATAGATAGCGATTATAATCCCAGCTCTTCAAATATCGAGTCTTCAGGTAAAACAGTAACAATATTATTAATATTTAAATATAAAACAAGTAAGATAATCCTTAAATACGCATTTATAAACCAATGTGGCTTAGGCTGTTTTGCCGCAAACTTATTTGTAATATATTTTTTATTGTTCTAGACAAGAATAATGATGATTCGAGTGAAAAAATCTCAATAAATGGGTTGTCGAACACTAAGAATCAAGACAATGATGAACCAGAAGGCAAATCGCACCAACATTCCAGAAAGAGAGTAAGAAATCTTGAGAATCATGCAAGGTATAAAAGGAAGACAGCCAGGGAGAAAGGAGAAGAATAAGATCAACATTAAGCATGCATGGTCTTGATAAGACCATGCTTAATGTTGGTTTGCTGTAGGGTTGACCATAGTTTACTGAGGGGTACACTGTCATATGCTTTTTGTAAGTCTACGTATACCAGGTGAACTTCTTTATTGGCGGCTGTTTTTTTCTCAATAACTTGCGTAATAGAGTACAAGTGGTCTACTGTGGATCGCCCAGCTCTAAAACCAGCTTGCTCCTCTGCTTCGTAATCTCTATAGTCATTTTCTATTTTGTTCTTAATAAGTTTCTCATACATCCAACTTATTGTGCTGTTTTACCGCAATTCCTCTGTAATTTTCACACTGATCCTTGCTGCCCTTTTTGTGGATAGTTGACATGATGATAGATAATTTCCATTCTTTTGGTAATTCGGCCCCCATTCCAGTAGTCTTTGAAAGAGTTTTCTTAACTGTTCCTGGAGTTGTCTGTACCGGCTTCTTAATTCTGCAGGATGTCACCGGCTATGGGATTTTCCATTTTTCAGGGATTTGGTTATTTCTTCCATCTCTGATTTACTTATTTGTAATGGTGATGAATTTATACGTATACCTATCGTGTTGTCTTCCATGTTGGTAAATTCTGGTCTTTGTTCTGTTAGACACAATCTAATACCTGATTTTGTATAGCGATGCTTTTGGGGGCCAAAATCGGAATATAAAGGTGGCTTTTATCTTAAGCAATTACCTTCAAAAGTGTAAATCATCACTCAAAGTTATAGAACAAAGATTTTTTTGTATCTGGACATAGTTTTATTAGATGCGATCAAGATTTTGGGTTGATTGAAAAGGAGAGAAAACAACATGATCGAATTTTTGATCTGGATGATTGGGTTTCCATAATTCAATGGACCAAAACAAGAAATCGAAAATTCTAGGTCAAAAGAATTTTTTAGTTAAAACAAATAGAAAAGTTAGTATAAGTGGCTTAAAGTGTACTAAATGTTGAATGGCTTAAAATTCAACAGATAAGGTATCTTAAAAACGAACCAAAAAAAAATGGAAAATATACAGCACAGGACTTGGGTTTATTTCATGAGGTTGATTTAAGCAAGAAAACCAAAGGCCTCCCATCATTATCTACTGTAATGCACAACCTAGATGTTCTGTATCTAAATGGGAGAGCAATAACAAATGAAAAGAAAAAGGATTTAATGGACTTACTTAAGCCTATTCCCCTGAGTTCCACAGCTTTTATTCTGGAGTGAAAAATAGTTCGATGCATTCGATGAGGGCTTAGAAGAAGCTTATATGTTATAAGCTGTTATCTCAATTTTTGTTTTGGACAACTTACTTGTTTTAGTTTTCTTCTAGGCAAATGTGCCCAAATATAGCTTAACAAGTTTCTCTAGGAATATATTTTTTTATAACGGCAAATGTGCTATACTTGATACAGAATTAAAATAATAACTTTCCTTAATGTTGTTTTAAGACATTAGCTTTTTCTTAAAAAAATAAAGTGTTACATTTTTTATTATCATAAAAATTGTAATTTTTATGTAAAGTTAACTTTGACATGATTTATCACAAAAACTATACATTGTGGATTAATCACCTTTGCCTCTGAGCCACTCATTTCTATTTATTTGATTCTCCAAACACGCCGCGTATTTCGATAAACTTCTAGATATCAAAGCAATGAATAAAAACTATATTACCGTGACTTTTTATTAGAAAAGTCAAATTCCCACCCTAATGACCTCGTCTGTGTTTCCAAGATCACGTTAAAAACAAAACAAGAACCGTATCTCGACTATTAAGTAGACGTGTATAGGGTGAAAATCTCGAAAAGTAAAGGAATATCCTGTCGAGATAAAATGAACCTTTTGTAGAAGTTTATTCGGCAATTGGGGTTGAGTTGAGACAGGCCGAATACGATTTCGTTACCCCAAGGGGGAAGGGCCCCTTCTCCATCCAGAACACGACCTACCTCAACGGTAGGGGAGACCCTCCAGCTATCAGACGGTGATCTCTCCAATCCCCAATACCCAGCTGACAATGATAACGGGGATTTTCATTATCAAGGTTTAAAAAACAAGTGTCCATCTTTTTGGAAAGATCGTAAAAATGGAGTATATCGAACTGGAGGACACAATATTCTGATTTTTGGAGATGGAAGGCTGTGTTTCCGATATATGCTAATAAAAAAAAGTACTATCGGTAGATTAAATGGGAACAAATATATCAGTTGCTTTTATTCAAGTATACAGGATGTCTAAGAAATTTTAAAGCATATTTTGGCGGTTATTTAAAAGATCTCTTGAAGCTAAAACACTATCGTAATAATGCTGAGATTATTGCGAAAAAGGCAGTTCTGTAGAACAGCTTCTGATTATCTTACAGAATTTTAGAGCTTTTACAAAGGTGCAACTTAAATAGGAAAAATAAACTTCACTAATCAAATGAATATATTCCAATACACTGAAGAAGGTGTTTTTAATTTCGTGAATTGATATTATAACCAGGAATCCATTTAGATTTGGAACGTTGTCTTGGAAAATTAGTTTTAGTTAACACGTTAGTTACAATTTTTTTTACCGTCGATAAAAAACAACAAACAAAGGGCTCTGCATTTATACACGGCAGTTAATGTTCGTTAATTATTATTTTTCAATTACCAATAAATAGATGATTAAATATATAAGTAACTTTGTTTTATATATGCGTGGCAATCTTATATACTAAAACGCTATGCCCTTTTATTGTCCACCACTTTACTCAAAAACCATATTAGATAATTAAAATATTTTTTCGGAACATTATTAGTATTACGTATGAGATTGTCAAGATCTTTTGGTACAAAAATTCACTTCCGGTTTGAGATGACCGAAAGTTAAAATTTACTTTAAGTTTTAGACCCCACAATGTATATATGGATCGAAAGGTCTCGTCGAGACGAATCTAAATATGTACTTCCGGTTGCGATCCGACACCGGAAGTGACCCGAAACGCGCATAAAACGTCAAGATAGAGCAAATCTGACACCGGATTCGTGATCAGCATGCAAAATTAACTGCTAAATGATAATCCACGTTGACATTTAATGAACTAAAAATTGCCATTCCGGTTTTGAGGTCGACTTCCGGTTTCGTTTTTATTAAACAGTAAAAAAGTAAAAGTTTACATAAACTCCCGGTGCCAAGCAAAAGTTTTCAGAAATTGGAGACATTGTAACAAAAAACATTGTTTTCGACGAAATATTTCGTTATATTTAATACACTTTTTACTTGTATTATTATTGATGAATGTTATGTATTTCTTGCTTATATTGTTTGTATTGATCTCTTAATTTTTCTCGCAAAATAAAAAATTTCATTTAAAAAACTCGATGTCGAGTTGGTCCGCTAGTGAAGTAGTAAAAGCTCCAAAGTTACCAATTTTTTGCAATTGGATGGAATGAAACTTTTTGCATTCGATTCGTAAAAGTGTCAGGAAAATTTGTGAACAAAAATGCATTTTCCAAAGTGAATTTTGACGTGTATATTTTTATTGATATGAGCCAGAATTTACGTTAAAAAAAGTTTATTTTTGTCTTTTAGATTTACACTTCTAGATGCTCTAATTCTGCTAAAGGAGACCAATTTCTCGACAGAATGCAGTAGGATCTAATTACCAGTATTAAAGAATGCAATCAATAAAAAAATACCAGTATTAGTCAATGACATATAGAGAATACATTATTTATGTTTTTAAATAACATACATATAAAATCCGAGTTTGATGTTTATTGAGGGTAAACTACAGTATATTGAACCAACTTACACTTCTAAATTAGAATAATCTTTTACCAAGTAACAAAAAATAACATATTTTTAATTGAAATCGTAGGCTTCCACAGCCAGAGTCAAGAATTATAGTTTATTCGTCTTCCGGGTTTGGACCGTGTCATTTGTGAGTGACCCAAAAGTGGGTTCATCTCGACGTTTCGCTACAATTGTATGTAGCTTCTTCAGGAGAACAAAGAAAAAGAAAAAGAAAACAGAAGACAGGAAGATGGGTAGTTAGCAACGGTAACTCAGTTACTCAACGCAACCAGAGGCGAATACTAACTACCAAGATGGGCATTTGGTCACAGTAACTCAACTACTCAACGCAGCCAGAGGTGAAAACCAAATGCCAGGACAGGGATTCACGTCCAACAGCTCAGAACACTAAAGCGTCGAGAATCGGGGAGGGATTCACTCCCCGAGACACCTTGTGCCCAGAACAGGTCACATTTCTTGTTGTTTTTCTTGAGTTGTATGGCAATTCGATACAAAATCAGCTTAAACTCGTGATTCGGCGATTCTTGTAGTCCCAAAACACGAATATCATGACAGCCATGAACTCCTGAGGTACTTGGTGCTCACGACTGGCCTCGTTTGCTGGAGTTTTGTGAAAATTCAATACAAAATCAGTGCAAACAACATTATTTCAGGGGTTTTTGTGAACGCTGCAAACGAATATCATGACAGGGGTGATCTCCGAGGTACTTGCTGCCTAGGACGAAATTATTTTGTATCGAATTTCCCTAAAACTCTAGATAAGGTCCGTCCTGGGCACCAGGTGTCTCAAAGACCATCACCGACATAACATTAGTGTTCAGCGTCTTCAAAATCCACCGAATAATGAGTTTTTTCCACAAAACTCTAAGAATCGTGTCTCATCTGGGCCCCATGTGTCTTGGAAACTTTCCCTGACATGATATTCGTGGTCAGCGATGCCACAAAACCCTTGTTTGCGCTTTTACTTATGTATCGAATTTCTATAGAGGATATGAGGCACATCCTGAACACCAGGTGCCTCAGAGAACATCACCATTGCACTATTTGACCACAAAAACCCTCGAGTAGTAATTTTCGTTTTCATTTCTACATTATGTTTGTTCACAAAATTTCCTGAGACTTTTGCGAATCGAATGGAACAAGTTTTAATGAGATCCATCCAACTGCAAAAATTTGATAGGTTTATTGCTTCATTACCTCGCAAAAGAGTTAGGTTTCTACATATGATTTTGATAAATTAATTTCGGTATTTATATTTATGTTTATTAGCAGTGCGATAATTTTCTTTTTGACTTTTCGAATTAAAATGACAATGATGAAAGTCGAATGTAAAGTGCGCGTACAAGGGGATGTTTCAAAACCATTTAAAACCAACAGAGGACTGCGCCAGGGAGATGCGCTATCGTTAGGGTGACCATAATTTTTCAACAAAAAAAAAGTACATTTATAATTTTTAAGAAAATATGTACACTGCTAGTGCCCTAGGAAATTTTTCTGGTCAAAATTTTACGAATCTTTAATGAAACAATAATAAGAACGATTTTTTTAATCAAACATAAGTACCTACATAAAAAAAGTATGATAAATTTTAATAGTTAATTTTCTTTCGACGTTCCTTTCTAAACATCTTGATCATTTTGGTGCCAGTCGTACTTTTTGGAATTATGAATTTCCTTCAGAAGTTGAGGTTTACTCTGTAAGAACTGAAACATTTCATTACACGAAACTTTGAAGTTTGTGTAGACTTGCATGATGGCTTCCAGAGTAGATATTTTCAACTGCGATTTGCTGGGAGTCCAATAGTTATTGATATTTGAGAACAACCGCTCAATCGACGCACTGGTCCCGGCAGACAAAAAACAAACTCACATAGAATTTTGAGATTTTTCAAAGCCCTTTCTTTTTGGAAGATTTCGAGCCATCGATCTTCGGTAGAAATATTTTTCGAATTCCAGTCTGTGATTTTATTTTCTGTAACGTGGGTTCGTATTAGACTAACTTCATCAAACAGTTCGTCCTGATTCAATATCGGACCTATGTAGTCTTTGAAAGCCTCACACGACGATAAAATTTCAGCCCAAGAAACTTGTTTTTTCAAGTTATTTAGGTTATCCAAATAGCTTTAGTTCACTTAAATTTTCACTCCAGTTTTTCAAATATTCCGATAGTTCACACTAAGGTCAAGGTCTTCCATATTTTCAAGTTTTGAGAGGGAGTCTCTTACTTTAAGCGGTAAAAATAACTTATTTAAGCGATTTGAAGCTTATTTATGAGTTCGAAATACTCTAAAGCAGCTTCCGTTGTGTATATTTTGTCACCTTCTACATATAAAATCGCTTTGTGGAAGGGAGACAAACCACACTCATGTTTCACTGATTAGATTTTGAAAAAACTGTTTTAGAACTGTTGGACAATTATCAATCGACAAAAAATATGCTCTAAAGGGTTCGAACATTTGTATAATTGGTTCAATGGCTGGCATTAGGCTCAAAAGTCTTGTTTTTGAAAACGACAACATTTTTTGTATTCGATATCAACAAAATCGCAAAACTGTTTTAATATTTCCACTCTGACTGTAAAAATATAGAAATACTTAAAAAATCTTGACCGCAATAACCTCAATGTCTATGGGTAAGACGACCGTCGTATTTTGTAAACAGTTATTAAAAATGTGTGCCACACAACCAATTCCAATCACGGGTTTACCACGAGAAGCATTTAATTAGCTGAATAAATTATTCACTCCTTTCTTCTCATTCCACCAAAATTTGTATTTGTATTATCAGCAGACATTCAGATGAATTTTTGTAGTAAATTATGGTGGTTCAAAACATTGACCACGTAATCTTTTAACTGCTCTGATGTTTCACCAGGTAAGTCACGTAGCTGAAGAAATTTTACTTGGACACCATTTTCTCCATCAAAATATCTTACCATTAAGGGCACAACTTTAATTTCTCTATGATTCGACGAATCGATTGTGATGCTGACGAAATTTGCTTTTCGAAGGTCAATTTCTAATTGGGATTGAGCCTCTTGAGCTAAAACATTTTTTACAATCCCCTCAGTCTTGGTTCGAGCTGCCGCAAATTTAGCTTCAAACATGCTTACAATTAGTTTTGACGTGCAGTCTAAGGATCTGAAACTTTGCAAATGCTTAATTTTATGGTAAGCAAAAGTACCTTCCTTGGCAGCAATCAACATATTTTCAGAACTTAAATTTTCTTTTTTAACAAAGGTTTCCAATTTCCTGCTCTTCGAGTTCGCATTAGTAGCCAACATGTATTTTTTCTTTTACAAATGTTGTTTGATATTACTGCGACTACTGTTAGAAACATCAACATCACTTTTACAAACTTGGCAAAACACAATATGCGGTGAAACGTTTGATTTTTGTTTCATAAAAGGATACTCTGCTTGCAACTCGACGTTAAAATGGCATTTTCTTCTAGGCGGTGACATGATGAAATTGTTTATTTTTTCCACACAACACAAAATAATATAAAAAACGAGAAAAAGTGTCGGAATTTAGACAACAGGTTAATAGAATAATTAACAGTGAGCGCATCAATTCGAATCATAATTATATTTTGTTTGGACAAAAAGTAGGACTTAATTTTGTGTAATTAAGAAAAAGAGTACATTTAGGTGTACTTCATAAATTTTAAAGTACAATAGGACAGCGTTTGAAAAGAAAGTACTGTCCTACTAAAAAAAGTACATATGGTCACCCTAGCTATCGTGCACGCTGTTCAACCTAGCGTTAGAAAAACTTATGAGAGATTCGGAAATAAACTTAAAAGGTACGATATATACCCGTAGTATACAAATTATGGCATACGCTGATGATATCGTCATAATTGGAAGAACCCAAAATAAAGCAGTGGAGGCTTTCACACGTATCACAAATGCCGCAGAAAACATCGGACTTCTGATTAACATCCAGAAAACTAAATATATGCCGGCCATATCAAGAATTCAACAAAATAACTTAGAGGTGCAACACGAAAAGATAGAAATAGTAGAAGAATTCTGCTACTTAGGATCACTGGTAGACTACAAAAATAACACATCCAACGAGATAAAAAAAAAGAATATGCGTGGCTAACCGCTGTTATTTTGGCCTGGGCCCTCAACTAAGAGCGAGAAGTATGTCAATAGCAGCAAAGTGCAAACTTTAAAAACAATAATACGCCCAGTGCTCACATACGGATCGGAAACATGGGCAATGACGACCCAAGATGAAGAGTTACTAGGAGTCTTTGAAAGAAAAGTATTGAGGACCATATATGGCGGAGTAAACAAACAGGGTCTGTGGAGAAGGCGATATAACTTTGAACTCTATAGACTTTTTGGTGATGCAGATATTGTGAAGATCATCAAAATAAACTGCCTAAAGTGGGTGGGCCACGTTATGAGCATGGATGAGAGTGATCCCACTAAAATAACTATGCTAAACAGGACGGTCGGAAGAAGAAGAAGGGGGCGACCTAAACTCAGATATCTGGACGATGTACAGGAAGATCTGTGGGAGATTGGAGTGAGGGCTGGAGAAGACAGACACTCGATAGGAAAGGATGGAAGAATGTTTTGAAGCAGGCCAAGGCTCACGAAGGGCTGTAGCGCCAACTGATGATGAATTTTCTTTTTTCATCTTTGTTTTTCATGGGTTTGATCAGTTCTATTTTTTAACTTTTCAAACAATTTTTACTGCCGTATTCGAAGTTGTCGAGCAGAGGCCAGTTTGAAGCAAGAATTCTCTTGACTTTTTGATATAATTTGCGTCACTGTTTTTATTTATCTGCATATCTTTGGTACTAAACAAAAAAAGCAAACTTCTTTAAGGCTTTGCGATTTGATCATGTGTCTCATCTTGTGACAGCTCTAAATAGTTTGTACTTACCATTGGTTGTTGCTGGACGGGCATAGACTGTTGAACCTGAGTGGGTTGCGGACTGGGTCTCGAAGGAGGTTGTGCTGTAGGTGTCACCACTGTGCTACCGTTGGTTTCGGGCGAAACAAGGGTACCACCACCTAATGGAGCTCCAGAACCCGCTGGCTTTCTACCACGATAACTCTGAAAAGGAAAAAGACCAATATTACTTATGTTTAAAGCACCCGAATATTAATTTAGATACTTCAATGAAAAAAATTTTTTTGGGAAAAATTGTGTGACGAATATTAAAAATAAAAAGAAAGACGGGGCATAGGAAGAAGAATAGACAAGGGTCATATTTATATGAGAGGTTTTTGGTGATTTTCTTCTCTTTCATTTCTACAGTTTGTATTTATTCAATTATAGTTTTTTTTAGTGTACCATCTCACGTGAAGAGCCCCCACACAGACATATTATTTGTGTACCTAATTCTGGAGCAAGTGAAAAGCTAAGATTACAATACTGTTCTGTAAAAATAATTCTGAAAATTATTACAAAAAATATTGTAGATTCCATTAAGTGGTAAAATTGAGATGTTTTATAATCTTTTTCAATTTTTAATAGAAACCAAGGTTAAAATAAAATTGTTCAGTAATACTTTGGAGGTCTCCATAAATAGATTAGGATTTATGCTATACCTACCAACAGAAAAACACAAGAAACACTTAATTTATCTACTAAAATATTTACGCAAATGATTTAATACATTTGTATAGTTTAAAACGAAAAATTTCATTCATAAAACGTGGAATAAACACTGTAAAATTGTAAACAACACATGTACAACGAGAAAAGTAGGACTAAATTTATCAAAAAGCCTCCCCCTTTGGCCACCCGCAGGTATCCACGCGATCGTCATAGTAAAAAAGATTTCTTTTCCTTTTCAACTAACATATTTTTGGTATACTTGGACTAGACGTATTTCGTACCATAATTCAAGTTTTCCGACTAAAATCGACTTGTAGCGATAGTGTCCGATGATCAAATTAGACGTTTTGAGTAAAGATGGGATTGAAATAACTGAACTCAATGAGTGAGCTGATGCTTGCTTTCGGATTCGATCACGGACGATTGAATTGAGTTGGCAAATTTGAGGGATCAGAATAAATCAATAATTTCTGAACGATCTGTGATACGCTGAGGATGTAATCTTATTTATAAAAAAAACTCTAAAACTGATACTTTTCGATGCATAAATAATAGGTTGAGTCTGTGCTGTTCATGAAAATAGACAATTATGAAAACAAAAGGAATTGTCCTTCCTCTTGTTTTTCACTTGCGTAATATACACATAATCGTTGCCTGCTTTATTTCTTTAGAAAAGTCACTACGAGGCACCTTAATGTAAAAAGTATGTGCTGGGTCTATATCCCCATTTGTTGTACAAATGTTTTTCAAGTAGTCACTGCCATTGCCACTGTCCGATCAACAATGCTATTAAAATATTTTATCGTGAAGCAGTTGAACGAACAGCTTGATGACTGTGATGAAGTTTCTAGTGGTTTTTAAAAGATCAAGAACGATCCAATTGAGAATGGAGACTACCGCGACCCAAAGGCCTTCAAATTCCAGTCAACAGACTAGTACTTATGAAAATTAATCAGATAAACGTCCCGTATTATCGATGAAACTTCCATTAAAACCGATAAGAAATTATAAATTTTTAGAAATGTTAATAAAAATTTTAAGTGTTTTCAATAAAATCCATGAAATAATTTAAATAAAAAAAGTTAAAAACGTTTTTTTTTTGGGTTGAAAAGCAAAAGATATGTAACATTTCTTGTAATGTAATGTACGTGAAATGTAAAGAAAACATTTGCCAGTCTGGTGATAGATTTTGAGGCAGTCACAAGCAGATTATGTAAAATAAGAATAAGAAGAAAATATAGAAAAGTAACCCTTATAAATGTACATGCACCAACAGAAAATACAGATGAAGACGTTAAAGATAGCTTTTATGAACAATTAGAACATATGTTTTACAAAATACCATCATATGACATAAAAATAATTGTAGCGATTTGAATGCCAAGATTGGCAGGGAGGATGTATACAAACAAATAACAGGGGGAAAAGTAATCATAGAGACAGTAATCTGAATGGAAAAAAGAGTAATAGAATTTGCTTTCGAACATAATATAACATAACATAATTATAAGCACTTATTTTGATCACAAAGAAATTCATAAAGGTACCTGGGTATCACCAGATGGACAAACAGTAAATCAAATAGATCATTTACTAATAGAAGCCAAACATATGAGAGCCATAAAAGATAGCCGAAGTTACAGAGGTGCTGATGCAAATTCGGACCACTTTTTGGTCAAAGTTAAAATGGAGCAAATAATACCCACAATGAATAACACTAGTTGTAAAAAAATAAAAGATATAACGGTGCACTACTTCAGGAGGGAGAAGTTAAGAAAAAATTCAGGCAGCAAATTGAAGAGAAACTGAAAAGCCAGACAACAGTAAATTATATAGAAAGCAGATGGGTACAACTAGAAGAAAAAATTCAAGAAGCAGCCGACTCAGTATAGCAGCAGCGTTATCAAGAAACAGACAATGTAGACAAACGGGTTGGTATGATGAGGATTGTAAGAAAGCCATTAGTGACCGAAATAAAGCTAGAATAAATAGCATAATAAGAAATAATGAAGAGAGTAAAAAAGCTTATGCAGCAAAAAGACGGGAAGCAAAGAAGATCTGTAGAAGGAAGAAGCGGTCAAGTTTAGAGCAGAAACTAGTTTGTATTGAAAAAGATTTTTTACATAAACAAGTCAGGAATTTCTACCAAGAAATAAAACGAGACTGAACCCAGTACAAAACCACATTAAGATATTATAAAGATGAAGAGGGGAATCTGTTAGGTGGAACAGATGAAAAATTAAGAAGGTGGGCCAATTATTTCGAGAACATATTATGTACGGACGACCAAGATGAAAGAGAACAAACGTAACTACAACATGAAGAAGTGAGGGACCCAGATGTAAATGAAGAAGTACCTACCCAGGAAGAAATTATAGAGATCATAAAAACTTAAAAAACAACAAAGCACCTGATGAAAATGGTATCATTGCTGAGTTTCTAAAAGAAGGTGGCGAAATGGTGCAAGAAGAAATCGCTGAGTTAATGCGCGAAGTGTGGATCAAAGAAAAAATACCCAATCAGTGGAAAAAGCAATCTTATGTCCAGTGCATAAAAAAGAGACGTTACAGAATGTAAAAATTACAGGGGAATAGCTCTACAAGATACAGTGTATAAGATTCTGGCCATATCAATTAGAAATAAAATTAAAACAAAAGTTGAAAATTGTCTAGGTGAATATCAAGCAGGTTTCAGAGCAAACAGATCGGTAATAGACCAAATTTTTACAATGAAACAAATTTTAGCTAGCTCATATGAATTCAACCTAACATTACACATGCTGTTTATTGATTTTAGACAGGCATATGATACTATAAAAAGAAATAAAGTATATGAAGCACTAGAATATTTTGAATTTCCACCAAAAATAGTAAGACTGACTAAATGCATACTCAATGATACTAAAAGTAAAGTCATGTTAGAAGGACGGGTTTCAGATAGCTTTATCACCAATAGAGGTCTGCGACAAGGTGACTCGTTATCAACAGATTTTTTCAATTTGATCTTAGAGAAGATTTTACGAGAATGTAACATCTACACTAGAGGCACAATATATTTATCACAGGCATCAATGCGTAGCATATGCAAATGATGGTACCTTAATAACAAGGAGACCTGCAGAATTAAGAGAAATCTTTACTAGAATAGAAAGAATAGCCAGGGAATATGGTTTAGAAATAAACGATGAAAAAACAAAATATATGGTGATAAGGGGAAACGAAAATCATCTAGGACAGTCCTTTCTATTCTCGCCTTAATTTCTGTGGCCTGTTCCCATTTTTGCATTTACATTGGTGCCAAGGTACACATAAGATTCTACAAGGTTAATACTAGGTCAATTAGTATGTTATTTATCCGTAATTGTCGAGCAGGTTGTTGTTTTTGCTTATGAGCATCTACTTTGGCTTCTTGAAGTTGAGGCTCAGGCCGTATTCCTCACTAACTGAATAAACACTTTCCATTACCTGTTGTAATTCGTCTATGGTACTGGCCGGATCACGTGTCGTCGGCATATCTTATATTGTTCGTTAACTCGCCGTTTATTTTTATGCCCTCATTTGCATTTTCCATACATTTTTTAAATATTTCCTCGGAATAAATATTGAATAGGAGTGGGGATAAGATACACCCTTAACGGACACCTCTTTTGATCTGTACACTTCCAGTGAGTTCGTTGCCAATTTTTGCTCTTGCTGTTTGACCCCAGTATAGGTTTGCCACAATTCGAATGTCCTTGTCGTCCATACCTGTCTTTCGCAGAATATCTATCAATTGTTCATGATTGACATTATCAAATGCTTTTCTAAAATCCACAAAGCACAAATACACGTCCTTATCAACGTCTTTACACCGCTGTATAAGCACCTGGAGAGCGAAAACTGCTTCTCTAGTTCCAAGGGCTTTCCGAAAACCAAACTGCGATCTATCAATATTTGACTCACATTTATCATATATTCTTCTATGAATAATCTTAGTGAACGCTTTAGTGAGATGATTGATCATGTAATGAAATGTATATTGCATGAATTAACATAGTGTCTACGATGTTTAAAAATAAAACAAGGTCGTACAGTAAAATTGAAACGTTCGTAATAGTATTTTGATCATTCACTCAGTAACATTAATTCAAAAGAACGGCGTTACCAACCACGAGGAATCGGTTTAGACCATCTCTATATTGTGTGTAATAAAATCGATTTATTTATGTGCATTTGATAACAATGATAGATTAAGATTATTTCTAATGATGTGTACATTTGATGTAACAATAAGGAAGTATCAAATGTTGCTTATGTTTGCTATTATATTATTTGATATTATTATAGGTCGCGTGTAATACTGGTTGCCCATATTCAGAAATTAAACAAAACAAATATTTTTAAGAAAATAAAAATTGACCGTTATAATATAATGTAAAGAACAGAAAAGATCAAAAAAGTTTGTTCGATAATGGTTTTCTTGAAAATTTTGTTTTTATCAAATATATTTTTGCA